CTCATCGCGGTCCATCGTTGTGGGTCGTGACAAAAGTGGTATCAGAGTAGTTTTGTCCTAGGGTTGTCAACAGAATGTGTCTAGTAGAGTCTTGTTTATAGGTGTGTCGTACACCACACTTATAAACAGGATATAGTACATATAGGATGTTATCCTCTCTTTTTTATCTCAGATCGTGCGATACAAGAATTCATGTTCCTAACGATACGTTATATTTTCAGCGATGCCTCCAAAGAGTACGGCCGCCCAGAAGGGAAAGTCCGTGGCTGGTGAGACTACTAGGGGAGCGCCACTTGTTACCAAGGCTCGGGGAGAGTCTCATGGTGAGGTTCCATCTCATACTTCACATACCCCGCCCTTTCTAGAAGAGCTCCAAGGGGCACCATCTCCAGCGCTCGCCCCTGTACATTCAGCACCTCAGCCGGATGCACTGGATTAGGAGATGAGAGATGATATTCATTTATTGACCCGATTATTAGCTGCACGGGCTCGGTGTCAGGGAGTAGGTATTGGTCATGTAGATAGGCCCGTGAGTGCGAGGGTTCATGACTTTATTAATTTAGACCCTTCGGTGTTCACTAGAGCAGATCCAAACGAGGACCCTCAGGTATTTATTGGTAGAGTGCAGAGGACGTTACGGTAATGAAGGCCATTGCAACTGAGTCAGTTGAGCTAGATTCCTATAGACTCCGAGATGTTGCAGTTAATAGGTATAAGTTTTGGGAATTGTCCAGAGGTGAGGATGCCCCTCCAGCAGTATGGTAGGAGTTTACAGAAGCTTTTCTTCGTCATTATCTGCCATTAAAGCTTAGACGGGCCAGAGTTGATAGGTTCTTGACCCTTCGGTAGGGTAACATGAGTGTTCGGGAGTACAGTCTTCAGTTTGATTCATTGGCTAGGTATGCTCCCAGTATTGTATCTAAGATGGAGGATCGGGTTCATCGGTTCGTGATGGGATTAGAGACTTACTTGCTTAACGATTGTATGTCGGTCTCACTTCAGCCAGACATGGATATTTCTCGTATTCAGGCATATGCTCAGGGTGTAGAGGAGCGTAAACAGAAACAGAGGTCAATCGTGAGCATGATAGGGCCCAGAATAAGAGAGCGAGGTCTTTGGATCTTTCTCGTGAGTTTCGAGGTGGTAAAAGATTTCAGGGCCTCATGTTCTTAGTATAGAGGTGAGTCAATTCAGATGAGGCCACCATTGCCACGATGTACTCAATATGGTAAGCAACACACCGGGTAGTGCCTTATGGGGTTAGGTGTTTGTTATTCTTGTGGTTATCCAGGCCACATTATAAGGGATTGTCCGATGAGGGGTGATGCAAGTATAGCTCAGCCGTCGGGATCTGCAGCTGATTCGTCATCATCAGTACGCCCTCTGGGCAAGGTCCCCAAGCAGTAATGAGTCGTGGTAGAGGTAGAGGTGGAGCATCTAGCTCGAGCAACTCTCAGAACCATATTTATGCGTTGGTAGGACAACAAGTCAGGAGTCATCGCCTGATGTTGTTACAGGTATATTATCAGTCTCCTCATATGATGTATATGCACTGATTGACCCAAGTTCCACCTTATCATACATTACTCCGCTAGTTGCTGGTAAGTTTGGAATAGAACCTGAATTGGTTAAACCTTTTGAGGTATCTACACATGTTAGGGACTCGGTGATAACTAAGCAAGTATATAGGGGTTGTATAATAGTAGTTCATGGTCGACCTACCATAGCAGACATAATCGAGCTAGATATGGTAGAATTTGATGTTATAATGGGTATGGATTGGTTGACTTCTTGTCATGCCAATGTTGATTGTAGATCAAAGATAGTCCGATTTCAATTTCCAGGGGAGCCTGTTTTTGAGTGGAAAGGTAATACGGCATCGCCGAGAGGAAGATTCATTTTCTATCTCAAGGCAAGGAAGATGATCAGAAAGGGTTGTATTTATCACTTAGTTCCGGTTCAGGATGTGGAAGTGGAGTCACCAACCATTAAGTCCATCCCTGTGGTGAATGAGTATCCCGATGTTTTCCCCGATGAGCTTCCGGGTCTCCCGCCAGAGCAAGAAATTGAGTTTTCTATTGATCTACTACCAGATACTCACCCAATATATATTCCTCCCTATAGAATGGCCCCCACAGAGCTGAAAGAGTTGAAAGAACAATTAAAGGACTTACTTGAAAAAGGCTTTATTAGACCTAGTACGTCACCGTGGGGAGCACCTATTTTGTTTGTGAGAAAGAAAGATGGTTCCTTATGAATGTGTATTGATTATAGGCAACTGAATAAGGTGATGATCAAGAATAAGTACTCGCTCCCGAGAATTGATGATTTATTCGATCAGTTGCAAAGTGCCAAGTGTTTTTCAGAGATAGACTTGAGGTCCGGGTACCATCAGGTAAGGGTTAAGGATGAAGATATTCCGAAGACAATATTCAGGACTAGATATGGGCACTTTGAATTTCGGGTTATGTCATTCAGTTTGACCAATGCCCCAGCAGTATTCATGGATTTGATGAACCGTGTGTTCAGGACTTTTTTAGATATGTTCGTAATTGTATTTATTGACAATATATCGGTATATTCTTGTTCAGAGGATGAGCATGCTGGTCATCTACGTATTGTGCTCAGAGTTCTACAAAAAAGGAAGATGTATGCAACATTTTCTAAATATGAATTCTGGTTGACCTCTGTAACTTTCCTTGGGCATATCATTTCGGGTGAAGGCATTTGGGTGGATACACAAAATATTGAGGCAGTAAAGACTTGGCCTAGGCCCACAACACCGACGGAGGTTCGTAGCTTCCTCGGTTTGGCAGGTTATTACAGGAGATTTGTGGAAGGATTTTCTTCCCTTTCAGCACCTTTGACAAAGTTGACTCAGAAGGGAGCAAAGTTTTAATGGAATGATGGTTGTGAACGGAGTTTCCAGGCATTAAAGGACAAATTAACGTCAGCACCAGTTCTAACGCTTCCAGAAGGGACCGATAGTTATGTGATCTATTGTGACGCTTCTGGCATTGGATTGGGTTATGTGTTGATGCAGCATGGTAAGGTTGTGGATTATGCTTCTATACAATTAAGAAAGAGCGAGGAGAACTACTCGATCCGCGATTTAGAGTTAGCTGCGGTGATTCATGCACTAAAGATGTGGAGGAACTACTTGTATGGCATTCATGTTGATATTACACATAGGGTTTGGATTTTAAAACTTAACTAGAGACATACCAGTTGAAGAAAAGGGTGCAGAATATAAAGCAGATGAAGTTCCAAGATCTAGCCCTAGATCAGTGAGTATCACAAGTAGCAGAAGAGAAAGAAGACTTAGAGTGTAAGTGTGCTTTTGTGAACTAATGTTCTGTCCTCAGAAGTGAGAATAGGAAGGAGTATATATAGTAATCAAAAGCTTAGCAAAATAAGGTAAGGGGTCAATTCAGTAGTAATTAGAGAGATTCAAGGAATCAATCACATATAAAAATCAGCAAGTCTTCCCCTTAATCAAGGGAAAATCAAATCAACGGTAAAATCATACTAGATATTTAAGGAAAAGAATCAAGTAAAGTTCGGGTATAGAGTAGATAATTAGGAGTAAATGAACAAAAGTTTCAATCAAGGTAACAATCAATAAAGATCAGCAAATAAGGCAACAGGAAAGCTAATTAAGGCAAAGGGTTCAATCAAAAAATAAGAATCAAAGTTTGTTAATGAAAAGAGTTCAAATCAAATCAGAGAATAAGAATTTCAAATAGCCAAGGAGAAAATCACGTATAGAGTCACAAGTTTAGCAAATAAAATAAGGTAAGAAATGAATAGTCAGGATTTAACACGTAATTTTAACGAAACAAATAGTTAAATCGACACTGATTCAAGGAGAAAGATATAGGTCTTAACATAAATAGTCAGGATGAACACAAGCATATAGAACCAGTAGCAAAACACCCTTCTCTTCTCTCAAATGCTCTCAAACCTAACTTTAATCAAACCTAATCGTCACTCATCTATGGCTATCTCTAGTGGTCTTTCACCACCCCCAGGACTCTATTAGCCTCTCTCACGTTGATATCGCCATCTCCAAGGTCCTCAAGGGACCAGGATTAGTTGGCTTGCATCTATGGTCCCTTTCTCGCCTGTTTCAGGCCGTTCCAGTGTGATTCCGAGTAAGATCGTCCTATATTGACTATGATCTATGGGTTGCTAAGCATGTTTCTTCACCTTTGTGTTGTTCTCTTCGAAACCCTAATTTCTTTTTATGAATCTCTTAGATCTGTACATATCTGAGATGATTTGAACTTGTTTCATATGAGTTTTACAACAACCTTGAGATTCTTTACAAGAATTGTATGATTTTCTTTACAAGAATTGTATGATTTTCAAATGATTTTCAACTTTTTCTAAACTAGGATTTCCGAAAATTTGTTTTACAAAATGTTTGATGATTTTTGAGTGTTTAATCTTCTGCTTCTTATGTGTTTTGACTAATTTCGTAAGTTTGCTACAACTTTAACTCGTTTATACTAAAAAGCCCTAATTTTTGACATTCTTTGTTTGGTTTATGAGTATTGGTGTACTGATTGTGTTCTTGCCCTGGTTCTTGTGATTTATCGTGGTTTTCTATACTTCCTCTTCAATGAAACCATTTAAAAAGGCACTTTTAACATCCATCTGAAATAACTTGAATCCTTTAAAGGATGCATATGCCAAAAGAATTCGTATAGATTCCAGTCGAGCTACTAGGGAAAAGGTTTCATCATAGTCAACTCCTTCTTGTTGTGAATATCCTTGAGAAACTAATCTGGTTTTGTTTCTTACAACTTTTCCATCCTCATTGAGCTTATTTCTGAAGACCCACTTTGTTCCTATCCCAGGAGCGTTTTCAGGTTTGGGTATCAATTTCCATACTTGATTTTTATCGAATTGATCTAAATCTTCCTGCATCGCTTACATCAAGCTCGAGTCTTTAAGAGCTTCCTCTATTTTCTTTGGCTCAATCTGAGAGATCAGTGCTATGTTTGTTTTCTTCTTGAGAGTTCCCCTGGTTTCATTCCCTCATTTGGATCTCCTATGATTAATTTTTGAGGATATTCAGGTTCACTTCTCCATTCGTTTGGGTGAACTGTATGAGCACTCGACTCCTTCGGTGGTTCTAGTGGATTATTGTTGGTTTCATTAGTTGACTCTATCACAACGTCAGATCCATCAGTCGACTTTTGCGATTTGCTTGTCTCCTGGCTTTCTTGAATTTGATCTTCATCACCTACAATAATACCTTTCTCGACCGAGGAGTTATTTTCATCAAATATAATATGCACAGATTCTTCCACACACATCGTGCGTTTGTTGTATACTCTAAAGGATCTACTGTTTAGTGAATAACCCAGAAAAATAACTTCATCACTTCTTGGATCAAATTTTCCAAGATTGTTCGTACCATTATTGTGAATGAAATACTTACTTCCAAAGGGATGAAAGTAACTAATATTAGGACGTTTATCTTTCCATAGTTCATAAAGGGTTTTCTTCAGAATTGACCTTATGAGACATCGGTTGAGAATGTGACATGTTGTACTTACTCCTTCTGCCCAAAAATGGTTTGGTAGAGAATGATCTAATAGCATCGTTCTTGCCATATCTTGTAGTGTTCTATTTTTCTGTTCCACAACACCATTCTGTTGGGGTGATCTTGGTGCAGAGAAATTATGAGTATATCCTTGATCATTACAAAAATCTTCGAATGCTCTGCTTTCAAATTCTCCTTCATGATCGTTTTGGATTGTTGTAATCAGATACCCTTTTTCTCTTTCGACCTTCTTACAGAAAACCTCAAAGTTTCTTAACGCTTCATCTTTATGAGATAAGAAAATCACCTAGGTAAAACGCGGATAATCATCAATAATAACAAAAACATATCCTTTTCCTCCTATGCTAGCAGTTCTAGTAGGCCCAAATAAATCCATATGAAGCAATTGCAAGCGTTTAGAAGTAGATACAATATCCTTATTTTTGAAAGAGTTTCTATTTTGTTTTCCAATTTGACAAGTATCACATATATGATTTCTAGAGAAATTCAACTTAGGTAAGCCAATAACTAACTCATGCTTGGAAAGTTTTTCTATCAGATGCATGCTTGCATAACCAAGTTTCATATGCCATAACCAGGGATCATCATATATGGAAGTTAAGCAGATATGACCATCAATATTTTCAAAACCATCAAGAATGTAAACATTTTCATACCTTTTACCTGAGAGGATTGTTTTACATGTCTCATTTTCAATAGTACAACCTGTTTTCTTAAACATTACCTCATATCCTGGGTCGCATAGCTGACTTATGCTCAGAAGGTTGTAATTAAGCCCATCAAGTAGATAAACCTCAGTGATATCACAGTTGTTATTGAAGGGGATTGTTCCGGTACCGATTATTTTTCCTTTTGAGTCATCGCCAAACTTAACACTTCCTCCGTCTATTTTTGTAACTTCTTTGAACAGGTTTTTATCACCTGTCATGTGACTAGAACACACACAGTTTAAGTACCATTTTCCTTTGCAATTTCTTCTGTAGTGTTCCTGCAAAACATAGTGATTACTTTCTTTTAAGTACTCAAGCTTGCTTGGGTCCTGGTTGGTTAGTGTTACTAGGTTCAGGATCATTTTTGGGTCTCCAAATCCATCCTGAAATATTTGACTTACGAAAATGACAAAAAGAATATTTATGTCCACTTTTATTGCAGTTGTGACACATAATTCCTGACCCATTTTTGGGTCTTTCAGTTGTGTTAGTACTAGTGAACTCAATTCTGGCTGGTCCTTTTCTAGTTGGCTTGTAAGTCGCCTGGTTTGACTTGATAGAACTATGACTGGTGGATTTGCGCATGCTACTGAGTTACATTTGCAATTCCTCAAACTCTTCTTGAAGTACTTCTTTTTCAATTTCACATACTTTATGTTTGAGTTTCCAGTCTTTTATTTCTTTGTTGAGTCTCTTTAGTTCATCCATCATTTTTTGAGACTCTTTCAAAGTGAGATCAAGAATATCCTGCAATTCTTATATCTTTCACAATTATAAGACCTTACCTCACTTGTTTCACCTAGAGCCATGAAGCATTTTTCAATGTTATCTTTGCATTCGTCATCTGAAGTATCCTCGTCTGTCCAGCATCCTGAAAGTTTGTTCATATTGTTTTCTAGAATTGTCATGAAGCAAAGATTTGCTACTTTTTCGTGTTCTGAACTGTCTTCACCACTCCAGCTTCCAAATGATTTATTTTTGTTGAAACCTTTGGAGATTTTTCTTTTTAGATCTGGACATTCGGCTTAAATATGTCCAAATCTTCCACACTCATAGCATTTTCCATCATTCTTATCTTGTTCGTTGTATTGCCTGGTTCGTCTAGGTGGAATCCTTCCTCTTCTCATATTCCTGAATCTTCTCATTAAGTCAGCCATGTTTTTCGACATCATAGTAATTTCTTCTTGAAGAGCTTTAGGATCATCATTGATATCATTCTCAGCTATCTCAGTTGTGGCCTTGAATGCAACTATTTTGTTCTTTTCTTCTTGGTTTGTTTTCTTGAGATGTGTCTTTTCGAAGGCTATGAGTTCTCCACGAAGTTCATCATAAGATAATTTATTCAGATCCTGTGATTCAAGTATGACTACTTAGTTTGCCAAGTGGTTGGTAAGCTTGTAAGAATCTTTCTAACTTGATCACCACTTGTGTATGGTTTGCCGAAAGCTTTTAGGTCGCTAATGATTTTTCTGAATCTGACAAACATTTCCTCAATGGATTCTCCTTCTTTCATTTGGAAGAGTTCATAATCGTGAACCAACATGTTGATATGTGTTTCCTTCACTTTGTTGGTTCCTTCGTATGTAACTTCAAGCTTATCCCACATTTCTTTGGTCGTATCACAGCTGGAGATTTTTTCATATTCTTCACAACTTATAGCATTATAGAACAAATTTCTTGCCTTGTTGTTGACTTGCACAACTGCCATTTTCTCATCTGTATATGAGTCTATATCTTCAGGATCAGTAAGAGGTTGAGCAGCAGTCGGCAGAGGATAGTTTCCCTTTTTGATGAATCTCCACACTTTAACATCATATGCCTTTGCATATATTTCCATACATACTTTCCAGTGGGAGAAATGTTGTCTATTGAAGTATGGTAGCCTTACTTGGGAATTACCTTCTTGGAAAAGTGCTCCTATGATAAAAAAGAAAAGTGTGAGCCTTGCTCTAATACCAATTGAAAGTACAAGAAGGGGGTGAATTGTTTATTTTTAAACTTAATAGCTATCAGTTGACGAGTTTTACGATTAGTCGACTGGATATAAGAACTTGATACTAGTAAAGACAGAGTTTAAGATGCAGAAATTAAATGCAGGAATTAAAGACACCGGAATTTTTATACTGGTTCGGATTCAATGTGAATCCTAGTTCAGTCCCCTTGGGTTGCAAGGGAGTTCTTTTTCAGTGAATGGGTTTCTTTGAGACTACAGAGAATGGTGTGATCTACACCGATCGCTTAGTTCCTATTTCACTCGTTTCTTTTGATACAATGTCTCACCAGTGTTGTTCTCTCTTTCTTCTCTAACTTGTTACACGGCAGATCTAGTAGAGCTACAATATTTGTTTGTAGTAGAATAAAGAGATGGTATTTGGTTCGATCAAAGTATATGACTCTAGGGTACAGATACAAGTTTAAATACTTTGAGATAGGCTTGGTTTTTGGAGAGATTTGCCAACCCAAGAGATTTGATCCTTGGAGAGAAATTGATTTTTTCGAAGAATAAGGCCATACAACAACGGCTATGATTACAAGAGACTTGAATGATTTTCCATATATGCTTCCCAGATCTTGCACCTTCAAGATTTGGATATGCTCGATTTATTTGATTCCTTAAGTATAGGCATGATTGATTCCGTCTTGGCTTTGATTAATTTCTCTAATTCCGAATTGCTTTCCTTGATTCCTTCCATCTCGTAGCTATCCATTGATTGCTTGATCTTTGCTAATCCCGGATTGCTTTCCTTAATTTCCTTGATTGATTGCTTCCATCTCGTAGCTAACCATTGATTCCTTAATCATCTCTGATTGATTCCTTCAGTCTTTGAGTGTTGTCCATGAGTTCCTGCACATAAAACAAATATATATTATTTGCAACATTAAAATCAGATCTAACATCAGTGATATCTTTGTGACCCACTGTCCATGCATCTTTGTAGAACCCTGCTCCATATCCATCAGGCCCAGGACTCGTATTGACATTAATATTGAACATTGCTTTCCTGACCTCCTGTGCAGTTATATCCTTTATCAGCTCTAATTGTTGTTGCACAGCCAACACACTTCTTTGCTTTAGGAATCCCTGCCATGCCTTTCTCCTAGTTCCTCCATTAGTACCTAATAGCTTCTTATAATAGCTGACAAACATATCAACAATCTTCTCAGGATCAGTTTGCAGTTGTTTCTACTCATCATTAATTTGGGTCATTGATTGCACTAATCTTCTCTGTTTAATAATGGAGAAGAAATACTTGGTATTATCATTCCAAGTCTAATTCATGTGGCCTTACTTCTCTGCATCAAGAAATTTTTTGCCGTAAGTGATGATTCTCTGAACTTATCCCTTGCATCTTTCTCCTTCTATTTAAGATTCTGATCTAGTGGTATTTCATGTAGCATAGCTTGCAGTTTCTGCACTTCCTCCCTATCTTTGTTAGCTTTATTTATGACATTGCTAAAATTTCTCTTGTGTAATGTTCTGAGTTTCTGTTTCAAAGCCTTTAACTTCTTTATTATTTGATACATCTTACACCCCTCCACTTGCATTGCATATCCCTCTTCAACAATGTGTATGAAGTCATGATGTTTTTTCCACATGTTGTAGTATTTGAAAGCTTTCCTTTTCCTTGCATGTGTCTAGATCATCTCTACCACTAATGGACAGTGGTCACTCACCCCTTTTGAAAATGCATGAGTTTTACATTGTTCCATGGTATCTATCCATTCCCTATTAACAAACAGCCAATCTATTTTTGAACAAATTCTATTTGTCCCCTACTTGTCATTCCATGAGTACTTGTATCCATTATTTGGTAATTCCATAAGTATGCACTTATCAATACACTCCTGAAATTCTACTACCTCACTGAGTGCTACTTGGTTCCCTCCAATTCTGTTTTCCTACTGCAGTACTACATTGAAGTCCCCCATGATTATCCATGAAAGCTGGCAGGCTATGCTCATCTGGTGGACAAAGTCACATAATATTTTCTTCTCATCTCTGAGATTATGTGCATACACAAATGTGACCATGAAAGTGACTTGCATAGGAATATACTTTATTTGGCAAGTTACTTCCTGTGCAATTTCATTAATGATCCTCACCCCATACCATTCTGATTTTCACACTACCACAACTCTACCATTATTGTGTGATATGATTTCTAGTATTGCCACCCTACAAATATAGCATTAATAGTATTCTCCACCTTATTACTTTTTAGTCTAGTTTCTAGTAGCCAAACTAGTCCAGCATTCTGATCATTACAGAAGAGTTTAACCTCTTTATGCTTACTGAGGCCATTAAGGCCTCTTGTATTCCAACTCATCAGCTTAACCATCCCCTATAGGGAAGATGGTACCACTCCCTCCTTTCATTCATTCATTAGCAGTACTTATTTTTGCCTTATCTTTCTCCAGGTTCTAAAATGTATTGGCCACAGGCACCACTGAATGTGTCTGCTTGACCATATTGGTTGGTTTATGAGGTTGTACCCATCCCTGAAGCCCCTTTCTGGGATTTGGTCTTTGCCATCTGCCATACATATCCTCCCTCCCTATTTCTTTGACCCCCTTATCCTCCTGTACATTTACTATATTCATCTCATTTTCAGATTCTGTTGTGTAACCTTCTCTGGTTGTTTGCTTCCTTCCTGTTCCTTGCCTTCCATTGTTCTCTTGTTTTTCCTTCAAATATCTTCTATATGCCCATACTTGTTACAACTAGAGCATATAGAAGACTTTCACTCATATGTTACTCTTTGTTCAATCACATTACCTTTCTCATTTCTAAAGTAAATCACCTCTAGCAAATTTTCACCAACTTTCACTTCAACCAATAATTTTGCAAAGTTCAGTCCAAGTTTCTTTTCAATATTCTTGTCCACCATGAGAGGTTTCCCTATTAGGCTACCAATTTTGCTCAAACTCTTTGCACTCCAGTACTTAAAGTCCAACCCCAAGTTTGACCCAAATAAGAACTGAAAATAATTCTCTCGAGTAAATTCCATGTTTGCATTCCAAGCCTTAACTATGAATGGTTTGTTATCAAAATGATATATTCCCCCTTGAATAACTTCATTCTTCCCCTCCTTGTTCTCAAATGGAGGGTGTGCTCCTAATAGATAACACACTATAGCATTCCTCCAATATTCAATCTATGTAACAATATCTTCATCTTCTATTTTCACTATCCTCTGTTCCCCCATAGTAGTAGAGTTAACAAACTCAAGCTTAAAGCCATCGTTCGTTATTTTTGGTATATCAAAATTATCCACACAGATGCCTTAGATTTCGATTCCTTACCTGCATTCTTCTCAACCAAGTTCAACTTCATCAGCCCATGATCATCTTCCCCCTGTACCCAAGCTTTTTGTTGCTTCATTCCAATTCTTCACTCACTCCTTAACCGGTGTACTCCTCTGGACTTGTGAGCTCATTTTGCTCCCCTCTCTATCGGAATTAGTTTCCCGTATCACTAATTCAGCTGAATTTTGTTGAAATTCTGCCGGATTAATCACTTTATCGCTGATTGTTTCAATCTCTGCTGCATTGAGCTTAGGATTGGTAACTTCAGAAATCCTTTTCCCATGGTCACCACCTTGGTTCCCACCCTTCCCTGCATTTGTCGCACCCAAATTCACCGTCGGAATCGCAGTTTTTACTCTCCTCCCAGGCGGCATACGTTTAGGTTAAAGTGCCTTGAGAGAGTTTCAAACCGACCATCCACGAATCTTCTTTGCAGATTTTGATCATGTAATATCGCCTGAAGGTTAATACTATGTCACTACTGCTCTGACTAGATTAACCGAGAAGCGTTGGAGGTTAGAAATGCAGTTACAATAAGTAGATGGTCAAAAGTAAAAATAATCCAACAATGATAGATCCTATACATTCAGAATATATAGTTATTTTTATTTTTATGATTAATATAATATGCTCAACCAGTTTAGAATTTAATATAATTGATTGATTTATTTCCAAGCGTTTCACTTTGAATTTATCTCCATACTTTTAATAGTGTAGAAATAATATTACGCTAAGTTAGGTCATTTATCATTTAAAAGATAATTATACGTAATCGATCATAAAACAAGAAATTAATTCTCTAGTTAATCTAGGTTGCACATCTCCATATGATTGGACAAATGTAAAAATATTGTTGGGTGTGTATGAATAAAGTTTCACATGGGAAGTAGAAAAGAAAAATAAGCTACTTAATAGTACGAGTTTTGAGAAAAAACACGCGAGCTTGACCCAGAGCGGACAGTATCACACCATATTAAGAATATCTTTGGACCATTTTAGCCGAACAGATATTTATAATGCCTTCGGTGACGTTTAGTTTGGAATAAGAATATTTTTTGATTATAAGCCTATAATTTCACATCCTACTATATGGAATAAATAGCATATAATTTATACCCATTTTTACTAATATTACTAATTATCAAATTCGAGATAAATGTAATCCCAAGTTTAAATTTTATACCGAGACCCTCTCCAGATAACCAAACAACCAGTGTTTTAATTTTCACCGTCACATAAAATTCACCACTTAACGAAATAATTATTTAATTATGTCAGTTTCGACTTTGCTTTGAACCGTTAACCCAGCAATATATCTACTACTATTTATCTCTGCTTGGTGCCTACTGGAAGAGATGTGAGAAATACTTGAATTCATGTTTGTCATTAATGAATTTCTAAGATACGAAGTTGAGTGATTGGTAATTATCATTACTATATTAATTACTACTACTACTATTATTATTATTATTATTATTATTATTATTATTATTATTATTATTATTATGATGATGATGATGATGATGATGA